GCTGTGCACACAATGACACTCGCAGATAGTCTGGGTCCAAATCCTTCTTAACCTAATCATCATAAACTTTCGATTCCCTGTTTGTAAATGACAATACTGAATCAAGCTACTTTATGCAAACGTTAGCATTACATCAGTTAATATATGGAACTGATCGATGCACGTAGTCTTAAAGCAATGCCCGGTTTGATCTGTGAAGGTTATGCAGGGAATTTTAATTCTTTCAACATTTATTTTCGCTTGTCTCTTTGCAACGCCTTGGAAGCAAAGTGGATGATGTCACGTTTTGTAAACTGTGTGTCGAGTCACAGACGTTTATGTTATTTCATTTGAACGGTTCAATATCCTGGAGTTCTACCTTAAACATATATATGCATATTTCCACACCTCAGCTCTTAGGGGCAGGATTTTTAGGAACCAATTAAATCCACGAAGTGAAGGATGGGTGAATTAAGAAGGATGGGTTCAAGAAAAAAAAATAGTATTCTAACTGTAAAGAAAACGATTATTTAACGATGCCTGTTAAAGCACCCGACAAGATTCTTGCCTGGCGGAGGGCAGGCAGGGGTGATCAGACAGCACCTGGGGGGAGGGGTGGGGGGAAACGAGGAACCTGATCGGACGTGGAGGGCGGGACAGCTATCAAGGGTGACGGGTTCTGGTGAAACTGACTTAGGAGGATACTTGCCAAAATTGGACAAAAGAGAGAAGAACATGGAGGTCCAAAAGTCAGGCCTCGTAGGAAGGGCTCAGGGGAACCTAGGGAGACTCCAGTCACTGGGAGAACCTCCATCAGTATATAAAAATGGGATGGTGAGGGTGCTTCAGTGGCCAAGAGCGAAGAGGGCCCTCCCTCCCCACCCCCACTCCCCAGACTGAGATTAAACACAAGGAACTGGACTGTTTCTACTCCAGGCACCGCGTGTGGAGCTCAGCTCTGCTTCTCTGCGGTTAGTTCTGTTTTCCACCGCGCATTGGCATAGGCGTCGGCCTCCGGTTGGTTGGTGCCAAGATGGCTGCTGCATTCCAGCCATCGCAGCCAGACCCAGATCTGGAAAAACAGATGACCGTGTCCTGGGTGAACTTCCCCAGCAGCCTCCTCTCGGATCTCACTGGCCGGCATCGCCCACCGCTCAACCAATCCCCAGCGAAAGAAGGAGACTGCCTGGGGGGACTTGGACCCATCAGGATCTGCCTTCTGAAACTGGGCAAAAACCCAGAGGAAGGCTGCAGAATGACAGAATGACTGACAGTAGAAGTCTGGACCTCTGGTATTTTTTTAACCGGTGAACCTCTCTGGGTAGTTAGACGATGGTTTAATTTTATACTCTTCTTTTTGCGTTCATACTGTCTAAATTTTCTATAGTAAACCTTTTCTTTTCATAATGCAAAAGGAATCCGTCGTTATTTGAGAGAGAGACAGAGGCAGAGAGAAGCTTCAGCACCTGGAAATTCCAGAATAATGGGCTTTGCTTTACGAACCGCCTAACACTACTTACGGAGCCTTCACTCCAAGAGGTCAGCAGTGAAAAGGTACCAGAATCCCTCTGACCCCCTAACTTCCACTCCTGCTGTGCAACCAAATTCCTACCAGAATGAGGCTGGTTCCGGGCAATCTTGTGGGGGCCCAAGCTTGGAGCTGTCTCCCCCGGGGGGCGGCCCCACTTGGAAATGACGGCCGGGTTTGCAACCACCTCTCTCTCAAGCAGAGAGAGGAAGTTTCAAAATTGCAGCCAGAAGGACGGAGGGTAAATCCCCGTGGACACTAAACGACGCACAAAGCCTTCAAGGCATCAGGGAGCTATCTGGAGGTGGGGGGTTGGAAACGCCTGGGGGGTGGGGGGGATGCACGTCCCTTGAGCGGGGTCACAGAGGGGCAGGGAGAATTCTGGAAGGAGCGCAAGTCCAAAGACAAGGTCAACACCACCACCACCACCACCAGACGTCTGTTGTGTGCTTTGGGGGCCTCTTGCGTGAGTGTCTCCTTACCCCTCGCGGCAGCCCCGTGAGGTGCGGATGCTTGTCCCCACTGTCCAGAGGAGGACGCCAAGGCTCAGAGAGGTGAAGTCACCTGCAGCCAAGATTCCATAGCCCAGTGATAGCGGAGCCTGGCTGAGTCAAGCTCACCAGCTCGCCACAGGGACTCTGCGATTGTTTAGCCGGGCTGAGCCACCCCACCCTAAGGTGGTTCAAAGTCAAGATTTTTCTGTCACTCCAAGCTGCGGGCTCCAGTGGATGCCCTCACCTCCGGCAGTCTGGCGACACATACACACACGCAAACTGCTACCGACAAGCACCCCATCGTACTGTGCTTCCCGCAGACCCGGAAACCTCGCGGGGCCCTGCCCGCTTCAGATCCTTAGACCAGCCCCGTGCAGGAGAAACTCCTGTGATGGAGGCGTCTGGGTGGCTCGGTCGGTGAAGGGTCCGACTCCTGATTTCAGCTCAGCTTCGTGAGATCGAGCCCCAAGTCGGGCTGGGCACGGCATGGAAGAGCCTACTTGGGATTCTCTCTCTCTCTCCCTCTCCCTCCCTGCCCCCCCCCCTCCCCCCCCCTCCAGCACTCCTCTTTCAAACAAATTTCCAGGGACATTCTGGTAGTGGCTCAGTCAGGTAAGCGTCTGACTTTATCTCAGGTCATGACGTCACAGTTCGGGGGTTCAAGCCTTCCCCATCCTGCCTCACTGACAGAAGCTTCAGAGCCTGGAGCCTGCTTTGGATTCTGTGTCTCCCTCTCTCTCTCTCCCTCCCCCATTTATGCTCTGTCTCTCTCTGTCTCAAAAATAAATAAGCGTTAAAAAAAAACTTAAGAAAAAAAAGAAAGTGGCCAGTTTGAGAAATTAATTTTTTTTTTTTGAGAGAGACAGAGAGGGAGTGGGGTAGGGGCAGAGAGAGGAGAGAGAGAGAGAGAGAGAATCTCAAGCAGGCTCCACACTGTCAGCACGGAGCCCGAGGTGGGGCTTGAACCCCCGAACCGTGAGATCATGACCTGGGCTGAAACCAAGAGTCAGATGCTTCACTGACTGAACCACCCAGGCGCCCCTGAGAAACTAATTTTTGAGGCATTAATTTTAATTAATTTAAGGGTATATTTCAAATGCCATATGCGGCTACTGGCCACAGTATCAGCACAGCCCTGGACCCTCCATCACCTAGACCCTGTTCTAACAGAGCTCAGAATTCCAATCCATCCCTCCCTCCTTCTTCTCCAGCCTCACCCCCTCCTACTCAGACCCTCCCCAGCCAGAATCTTCAGCCTCCACGCCCTTTCAAGTGCTGTTAACAATGCTTGGTATAAACCTCACCCCACCCCACTGCACCTGTCTCATTGCTACTCCTATTCTGTTCCGTTGTCTCCTCCTCCAGGAAGCCCTCCCTGCCCCTCAGGCTGAGTGAGGCATCGTTTTGGGCTCTCCCAGCCCCCTGGGCTCCTCTGTCCCAGCGCTGATCCCTCCGGATCATCATTGTCTGGGGATGGGTCTGTTCCCCTCCCCAACATAGACACAGAACTGTGAGCCCGACTGTGGACGGAGGGCAAAGCAAGAGCTGTCTCAGTCGTCACTGTGTCCTCAGCACCACCCAGCAAGGGGCTGGGCATAAGGAGCGTGTGTTGGAATGAATGTGGATGGATGAATGAATGATGCTTTTGAAAAACCATGCTAAAAGCTTTCTTTAGAGTAAGCCAGCCACAGGTGAAGTCACATCTCCACCTACTGGTAGACTTGCCTCCTCCCTTGAGCCTCAGTTTCCTCCTCTGTGAAATGGGCACAGTAATGCATGGGGGATGTTGGATGAGGGCGTTATGTTGGGGCTACATGCAGGGAGCTGCCTGGCCCAGGGAGATTGCTCAGTCACACTGGGTGGGGAGAAGAGAGAGGTTGGAGGGGATTAAGGGAGGAGTCCTGGGAAACCCCAGGAAGCTCCCCAGTCACCCTGGAAAACTGGTTCAACCAGTGTCGGCAGCCATCCCAGGGAGCACGGGTGAAGGCTCGGGAGCCTGTGGAAAGGGGGTGCTGGGGCTTGGTCAGCCTCGGCCATGTCTGGGAGGCACGCCCAGGACCCCCACTGAGTTGGCCCACTTCTGCCAGCCGAGTGCCCACTGAGTGCCCGCAGTGGCCCCTGCCACCAAGATGGCAACTCCTGAGGGGGCCCGACGCCACTTCTCAAAGGGCCTCCTGCTCTCAGGTAAGGAGGAAACACACCCCAGGGCTGAGGGGGGAAGGCAGGACTCAGCCCAGGGGCTGAGGTTTTCTCTTAGAAGAAGGGAAGGATGGTCAGGGAAGACATTATTAAGAGTAAGATCGGGGAGGGCTGGGGAGGATGGGGAGCTGTAGAATCACACCACATCCCTAATTTTAACTATGGAACTTTCTAGAATGTCAGGACCACGAGGACAGGAATTTTGTCTGTCTGTTTGGGGGCTGGCGAGAGGGGGTTGTGTGTGTGTGTGTGTGTGTGTGTGTGTGTTCGTCCTATTTGCAGTATCATACGTGATCATCAAACTGCGGCTAGAATGTTCACGCCCATTATTGCAAATTCAAACCCCAGAAAAAAACTGTTGCTGGTAATTTACTGAGGTCAGGATCGGACTGCCTGGTACAAGGCTGTACCCACAACCGGGCAGGTTCAGCAACACGGGACCCTTTCCCCGGACCATCATGGGGACAGGAATTAATTTGTATTTGTTTCTGTGCTGTATCCCCTGTGCCTAGAAATCTAGAGAATTTTAGACATATCATATATAATTGGTACTATAACATAACTAATATGTATGTCCGTAAATATTGGTTAGATGAATGAATGAATGAATGAATGAATGAATTCAGAGAGTCCATGAGTTTAGAAGCAGACCACATAGCACCTTAGGGGAGAAAAATCTGCTGGGCCAATGGGATAAGAAATCTGTGGCTTTCATATCTGGGTTCCCACTCCCGACCCCAGGGCAGACATCACTAATCAACCCCAGCCCTGCTTCCCCTGAACACCATTCAGAATCCTTGTCCCCAGATGAGGACACAGAGGGAGGAAAATGCTATGATCCCTGCCCAACACCTCTGATGTCAGGCCACCCCTGTAACCCCCCCGCAGCCTCAATCCTGGCCCTCTGGGTCCCCCAAGGCTCCCGGGCTGCCCTCCGCATCCAGAAGATTCCAGAGCATCCTCAAAAGAACCAGGACCTGCTCCTGTCTGTCCGGGGCATCCCAGACACCTTTCAGGACTTCAACTGGTACCTGGGGGAGGAGGCCCACGGTGGCACGATGCTCTTCACCTACATCCCCGAGCTTCAGCGGCCCCAGAGGGACGGCAGTGCCATGGGGCAGCGTGACATCGTTGGCTTCCCCAATGGCTCCATGCTGCTGCATCGGGCCCAGCCCACCGACAGCGGCACCTACCAGGTCGCTGTCACCATCAATCCTGCCTGGACCATGAGGGCCAAGACCAAGGTCCAGGTGGAGGGTGAGTGTTGCCCCGCCGAGCAAGGAAGTGGGGAGGCTAACGCGCCCTGACATCTCCCACGGCCAGGATCTGTGCCCATACCGCCTCGTTTGGCTCTCTCCTTCACCCGTTCAACGCCTACTGATTGAGCACCTACTGTGTGCCGGGCCCTGAAGCTATCACTTAATCCTCACTGATAAAATATCTATTGACCGCCTGCCTTGTGCCAGAGCCTGAGCCGGGGGAACACAGTCTCTTTTACTGCTCTCACGCCTTCCCTAATAGGATATTTATTGAGCTCCTACGGTGTACGTGGTCCTAAGGGAGCAATCCACTCGGGGCAAAGTGCTAGAGAGGGGGCCGTGGACAATGGCGATGGCCAGCAATTCCTGGGCACTCGTCACTTGGGCACACTTACGCGAGAGCATAGCCTCTCGCCCTGGGCCCTGTTAACATTTCGGACCCGCTGAGTCTTTGTAGGAGAGGGCTGTTCTGCGCGCTGTAGGATATTCAGAGACTTCCCCGGCCTCTGCCCACTAGATGTCAGGAGGATTCCTCCAGCTGTGACAACCAGAATTGCCTGCCGACAATGCCAAACGTCACCCCTGATTGAGAACCACTGCTCGATATTAACCCCCCTGGCTGGCTCAGCTGGAAGAGCATGTAACTCTTGGTCTCGGGGTTGTGAGTGTGAACCCCACGTAGGGTGTAGAGACTCCTTGAAAATAAATAAGTCAACTTTAAATTTTAATTTACTTTAAAACCCCCGTGTAATGTCCTATACCAGTAACATCTCAATAGCGGGGAGAACTTCTCAGCCCCCCCAGGCAGACTTGGTCATTAACCATCTGTGTCCCCAGAGGACTCTGATCACGCCATTACTTCTGTGATTTTCATAACGTCCTCTGACTTATCACGTTGCAAACGTGTCTCACTAGGATGGAATTTTCTTCAGAGAGAGCGAGAGCGTAGTGGTCCTTTTATTGTCCAAATTCTACCACAGTGCGGGGAGGGGGTGGGAGGGGAGGACACCATGGATTCTCAGTTAATGTTTGTTGAATAAATAAATGAATGAAACCTTTCTAGGCCAAAAACTCCACGAGGCAGGCACGATTTTTTTTTTTCAACGTTTATTTATTTTTGGGACAGAGAGAGACAGAGCATGAACGGGGGAGGGGCAGAGAGAGAGGGAGACACAGAATCGGAAACAGGCTCCAGGCTCTGAGCCATCAGCCCAGAGCCCGACGCGGGGCTCGAACTCACGGACCGCGAGATCGTGACCTGGCTGAAGTCGGACGCTTAACCGACTGCGCCACCCAGGCGCCCCGGCAGGCACGATTTTTGTTTCCACTTTACAGATGAGGAAACCGAGGCACAGAGCACGGTAGAATTGGGACTTGATCCCACAAAGTCATAACGCCAGAGTCTGGGAGCTCAGCCATTTCCTCCCAGAGAAGAGAAAGAAAAGAAAACCTCCTCACCTCCATTCATATGTGGGAGGCGATAATGAGCATGGAAGTGATAAATGAAGGCCATATTTCAGAGACATTAACAATAATAGCGCTAACTTTATTTGGTGCTTATCACATGCTTGCTTTATGTATAACTCATTGAATCCTCACTGCAGGCCTGTGAGTGGGAAATATCATCAGACTCATTTTACAGACGAGGAAATTGAGGGGCAGAGAGATGATGATTTACCCAGTAAAAAAAAAAAAAA